TTTAAAACTAATAATTTTTTTTTTATTTTGGGCCAAAAACCTAAATTATCATTAATGAATTCCCTAAATTACAACTATGTCTCTCCCATATCTCTAATTTAATATTATTAAATAGCTGTAAAAATCTTATCTCTCAAATTTTCTTCTTGACTTCCAATTTTTTAAATTTTATTTTAGTCACTAAATTGTACTATCTCACTTTATTGTGTGATTCTCACCAAATTCCACTGATCCAGCTTAAAATCCACTAATTAAAAATATTTATATAATTTTTCTAACTCAAAACTACCTTCCTTAAAAAAATTTAGACTTTCGATTCAATATGGTTATCCGAGTATTATACCGATCTTCATCATTTAATAGACTTTTATGCAAACTCCTGATCAAAAATATGAAACCCCTAAAATCTGAACTACTTATTTACAAACCCAAAATATAACTTTTAAGATTTTACATTTTTAATCCTGACACTTTTACAGCATTATATTTTAGTCCCAAACTTTTAAATTTTTACATTACAGTCACTAGTTTAAAATTTGAGTTATTACAGGATCAAATCCACTCTCATATATATGTTTTCCCTCAAGTATATAATTATGATTTCTCAGCTGATCCTCGTAGGTAGAGTCTAAAATAAAAGCAACTACATATTTGGTACCAAAATTATCGCTTTTGTTTCATTTTAGTACCTAAATTTTAATATTTATTAAAATTACACTTAACATTTATTTTTTATTTCATTTTAATATCCATAGTTTAAAATTTAACAGAATGACTGATGTGGAATTACTTTTATGTTTTTGATATTTCACGCAATCTTGCGGTTCCCCTTTTTAGGAATGTCCAAGGGAGGACAATCTAATTTAAGGTCAATGAATGCTAGGGAAGGTGCAATTGAAAATGTTATAAAAACATAATATTTTTTTGACACAACCTAAAATATTAACTTTTTCTTAATATTTTTTTTGATTTCACACATTATTTATAACATTTTCGGTTGATAATAAAAAATGTTAAAAGTTAACATTATAGATTGCACTCAATGAAAAATGTTATGCATTTTAGTTGCACTCAATCGAAATATTATTTTTTAGAACCTTTTTGATTGTGTTCATTCCCTATTATTCTTCAATCTTAAATTGGACGGCCCTAGAAGAGAATGACCCTCCCCTTTCACTCTCCCTTCATCAGCGTAAAGCTTATCGCTGGTGGCTACCCAAGCCCCCTGGTCCTACCATGAACCCAGTTTTCCATTATTCTTAACCTGCCCTACCTATCTAATTGCCGCATGGTCAAAAGTTGAACTATAATGCATTGTCATGCGCTCCTTGTTAAGTGGGCGGGTTTACTTTTAAAACCCAATTAATTTGGTAACAATCAAATGTCGGCTATGGATTCATCTAATGAAGAAAGAAGCAAATACAGGTTGACAAGTTGGTGACTTATCAAAGGGATAATTAATAATATTTTGATCTTTAAACTGATTGGTTATTTATTAGTCAATCCATGAAACTCAAATTTAAATAGACCATTTTATCTTCTTTTATTTGTAATATTCTAAGAATTTTATTCATTTGTAATCTTTTAATAACAGTGAAGTTATAATTTGGTGGTGATGTTGCCTCATTTAATTAATAATAGATTGATAATATAAACCTTACATTGATTAGATATTTATTTTTTTAAGTATTTAAATTTTAAATACACTTATTCAATAATTTATTCTCTTAAACTTATTATTTGTTCTTTTTATCCTCCGATTCTTCCCGTGTTACATAAGATAAATACACAGCTTATTTAATTAAAAATTTTAAAGATATCATTTTCATGGGTAGTTGACCAAGAATGTCCTTTCGTTGTTTAATTTTTAATGGGGATTGTTTATTAAATAAACTTTATATTTGTTATCATTTCCAAATTTGAGAATTCTTCGGTGTTAATGTCTCATACATTATATAATTATTTAATGAGTTACTAAGTTTTTAAATCTATATAAGAAAAAGAATAATTATCAACTGTATATGATTGTGAATACGATGGTCGAATAGAATAAAATTATAACTGAAATTTAAGAAAATAAAATAAAGATAAAGAAAAAACAAGTTTTCCTCCTTAATCTCCTGACAGAGAAGTTCAAAGACGTGCCTGCTATCAACTTCAACGATAATAGCTCTTTGCCGATACATTCCACGCTATGCTTAATCCCTCGAGAAAGTCTGTTGTAAAGACAACTCCAGCACATTGGCTGGATGCTGCCGAGCTGCAGCAATCTAAGGTGAAACAAAAGATGGTTATTTAGGATTAGCACAATAGAATAGTTTTGAGAAAGTAAATTGTTTCTTTCACTCAAGGTAAACCGATTGAGTATTACTAAACAACACTCAGCCCATTACAATGATATGGATATTTGTAACCCAATATTAACAGCCTAATAAATCTAAGAAATTCTTAACTAATTGCCAACTAACATCAAACTACTTAACTGTCTAATATTCACCCTACTTCTTTGACCTTCTTGATGTAAAGATGAACACTTGAATTGAAAGTGCGATGCTTCCTTCCGTTCTACTTGAATCGAAAGTGTGATGCTTCCTTCCGTTAGACTTGAATTGAAAGTGCGATGCTTCCTTCCATTCCGTTCTACTTGAATCGAAAGTGTGATGCTTTCTTCCGTTCTACTTGAATCGAAAGTGCAATGCTTCCTTCAGTTCTACTTTATTCACCTTCCTTTTCTTCTTTTTTTTCCTTCTTTCATCTGGAATTCCTCCAAGAATCAAAATTGTTTTTTTAGCTTACTCGTTCATATTAAGTTGCCACACTTGAATCCGGTGGGGCATCAGACCACAAACTGAATGGTACACTTGGTCTTGATGGTGGCAACGACAGCGTTGATGTCTTTGGGCATGACATCACGGTACATCAATCAACAAACTATGTACTTGCCATGACGAGGGTTGCACTTGGCCATAATAGAAGAGGGTTCAAAAGCATTGTTGGTGATTTCAACAACTGATAGTTGCTCATGGTAAGCCTTCTCGGCAGAGATGACTGGAGCATAAGACGAAAGCATGAAGTGGATTCTTCAATAGGGGACCAAGTTGGTCTGGAACTCGGTTACATCGACGTTCAATGTACCATTGAACCTTAGTGAAGCAGTCAAAGAGGAGATCACCTGAGAGACAAGACGGTTAAAATTGGTGTAAGTGGGTCGCTCGATGTCGAGAGAGCGCCTGCAAATGTCATAGATGACCTCATTGTCAAGAAGAACAGATACATTGGTGTGCTCCAAAAGAGAGTGAGCCGAGAGAACACTGTTGTAGGGCTCTACAACAGAAGTAGAGACTTGAGGACATGGGTAGACAGCGAAACCCAACTTGGATTTCTTGCCGTAATCAACGGACAAACACACCCGAATGAGAGAACCAATACCAGAACCAGTGCAGTTATCAGCAAGCTTTCTAATATGGTCTAAGCACAAGTTGACGATCTTCTTGTCAATGGTGTAGTGGCCACAAGCAAAGTTGTTGGTAGCATCTTCCTTGCTGCTAATGAGTATCTAGGGAAGAGCGAGGCTGATTGAATAAGAAGACCAACAAAGTGGAAGAGAAATGGCCGCAGGATCATCGGCAAATGATTCCATCCGTTCTACTAAAACAAATAAGACACCATCAACATCATTGAAGCATTTGGTCGAACAGATTGGAAGCATGCACACCGAACTGTAACAATCGCATATTATCAACACCAGTAAACTTAACGAAATCAGAACACTCTATCAACACCAGAAACTATTGATACAACTCCAAACATAGGACACGAATCACCAAAGCAAATGAAAAATTGAATCCAATGTTAAAGCACACTAAAGTTCCAGGAATGACTACAACCTACGAATCAATTTCTTTCATACCAGGAACAGAGATAGAAGATGAATTGAGAAGATTCCCAGTAACTATGATGACGACAACGATAAACCACATGAATCGTAGCAGATAAAACAATCAAGAACAACGATAAATCACGGACGAGAAAACGTTACCAGGATCGTAAGAAATGAGCATTTGCGATAACGACAACACCATCTATCATATCAGAAAACATGCGACTAAAAAATTGTGGCTAAGAGATGATTTGAATCAGATCGTCGACTGAGGAAGAGTCGGTGACGACTTCATGTCAACTCCAACGAGCGAAGAAGCAATTAGGCCAACAGAAAAACAATGTTAACGACGAGCAACGAAGAGAACCACGGTGACCACGACAAAAATAATGAGATCGATGAGAATGGAAGCAACTAGTAGCAGAAGAAACAGAACAATGACAACAAAGTTGGAGATCGGAAAAATCTACAAACTCTGCAGTAGCAACGACGACGGGATCTTTTAGCGAACGATACCATGTTGTAAAGACAACTCCAGCACATTGACCGGATGCTGAAGTAAATTGTTTCTTTCACTCAAGGTAAACCAATTGAATATTACTAAACAACACTCATAACCCAATATTAACAGCCTAACAAATCTAAGAAATTCTTAACTAATTGCCAACTAACATCAAACTACTTAACTGTCTATTTCCTTGAAGGTGGGTGCTAGTGGAGCAAGCGGCGAGAGTTGCGTTGCAGTCAAGGAAGACTTCGCCGACGAAGAAGTTTTCATAAAAGCCGGTGGCTCTGAGCTTCTCTTCGTTCAAATGCAACAGAATAAGGAAATGTATACATAGTCCAAGTTAGAGGATAAGGTTTTTTCACTTTGCTCCCTTATTTCAAGAGCTCGATCTTCATTTGTTGGAAATCAAAATTACTACTTATTTTAAAATTATTTCGACCTGTTAGAATGGAGGCCCTACTGGTGGACAAAGAAAGTTATGCTTTTCTGGATTGCTTTTTAAGTTGGGGACGTGGGGATTGCAAAATAATAGTAAATGAGAAATATGAGATTCTTATCAAAATTATGACATGTCACGTGCATCTGGTCAATAGTTGTCTGCCCTGAACTTTGGTGGGAACTAACTAGTGACTTGAAGCAGCTGGATAACAAAATCTCTAGAAAAGAAAGTTTGCATTTTATTTAGTGGGTTTGCTGTTTTATAGGAATTTTCTTTTTGAGTTCCTTCTCTTAACATGTATATTTTCACAGTTACCACCAATATCAATTGGAGAAAACGTGCTGGACCTGGTGGCTATTGGTTGTGGTCCAGCTGGTCTTGCTCTTGCTGCGGAGTCTGCTAAGCTGGGTTTAAATGTTGGACTAATTGGACCTGATCTTCCTTTCACCAACAATTATGGAGTCTGGGAAGATGAGTTTAAAGGTATCACTTCATTTTCTAAACAATTTATGGAAGATTTATTTCAAAGCAAGTATATATTCATATCCATACTTTGAATGACAAGTTATAATTTTTACCCTCCCGGTGTTCATCACAATCAGATAAGTCATTTTCAAGATCTTGGACTTGAAAGATGTATTGATAATGTTTGGCGTGATGCTATTGTATACCTTGATGATGATAAGCCTATTATGATTGGCCGTGCTTATGGACGTGTTAGTCGACGCTTGCTCATGAGGAGTTGTTGAGGAGGTAGTGATAGTTTATTGTCAATGATGTTTATGACTATTTTTTCTCCAGGTTGTTTGTTTCCATATTGCCTACCATCAATATTTAATTTTGTATTAATTTTGCTTAGGTGTGTCGAGTCAGGTGTAATGTATCTTAACTCAAAGGTAGAGACAATTATTGAAGCTACCGATGGTCATAATCTCGTAGCTTGTGGACACAATCGTGTTGTTCCTTGCAGGTAGGAGAATTTCTGTTTCCCCTGCTGCCATTTATAAATTTCAACATCTAAGTTTTGCGACTTCTTTCAAGCCCCTAATGTGTTATTCTAGGCTTGTTACTGTTGCTTCAGGAGCAGCTTCAGGTAAACTGTTGCAGTATGAGGTAGGGGGTCCAAGAATCTCCGTTCAAACAGCTTATGGCATCGAGGTTGAGCTATGTATGGTGTGGAAACTTCAATTGTTAACAATCATATATCTTTGCCTTTGTTATTTTTATCTTATTGCAGCATGACCAAAAAATTGCAGTTTAAGAGGGCGATGGGAGAAAAAAATTCTTATTATATCAGGTGGAGATCAATCCTTATGATCCCAGCCTGATGGTTTTCATGGATTATAGAGACTATACTAAACAAGAAATTTCATCTTTGGAAGTGTTGGAACCGTCTTTCGGGTGAGCCCGGAAATAGGGTTCGACTTGAATGAAATGGTTTGAGTCACCACCGTTCATTTATTTTAAGAATAAAACGGGTTGATCGGGCACCCTAATTTCATACATGATCTGCATCTTACCAGCGATATGTCGGATTTGAGAGTCGGTTACAGTCAAAGAATGGTTAGTACCCTTGAACTGCTCTTTGGGTACTAGTTAATTTTCAGTTGTCTTTAATTAAGATAATTGTAATTTAAATTAAAAGGTAAAATTATGATCCAAATTACTTATCTCTGACGGATTTAAATCGTGCCCTTAAAAATCAAGAAAAATGTTAGATGTAATGAAGTGTAGAATCGAATTAAAATAAATTTAAATAAAAACAAATACCATAATGAAGAAAAAAGGTAAAATAGAAAACATAAAAAAACCCTAAAATCTAGCTAAATAAATTAAAGCAAAATAAAAATAAAATAATAAAAGAAAAGAAAAAAATTTTAAAATAAGTAAAATAAAGACAACAATGAAAATAAAATAAATAATGACAAAATAAAACAAAATTAATAAAGCCACATTAAAAAAATGAAAACAAAAAAATAATGGAATAAAAGAAAAGAAAAAAATAATATAAATAATATAAAATCGTATTATTAATGAAATAAAAAAATAGAAATAGAAATAACAAATAAAATATATAAATAAATAAATACTAAAAAATAAAGAACAAAAAAAGGTAAACAAAAATATATAAAGATTAATGCTTAATTAAATATATATATATATATATAATTATTTTAGTAACAGAGGACCGAATTGAAATAAAATTAAATTGGAGGCCACATTTAGAAGACTAAAGGGTGAAAATCAAATTTAGGGGAGCAAAATAAATATTTAATAAAAGGGGACCAAAAAAATAATTAGCCCTTTAAATGATGGAAACATGCGGATCCTATTGGGTGGGTCGGATCGGGGTCACAGCCCGGTCGGGTCAACTATATATGCTAAAATCCAGAAACAGGTTTTTATTTTTTCACTTGCATCCAAATGACTCAAACCCCCTCGATTTTTCTCTCGCCCCGCTGCGAAAACCCAGAAAACCGGTGGTCACCGCCTCGCCGGCTGCCGCTCATCGACGGTGGCCCAAAACAAATTTATGTTTTTTAAAACCTTTCTTCACCCACAGTTTGAAAATCAAGATGGTTCGAAACGAGAAAGAAAAAAGAAGAAACCACAACATCGGGTAACATGAAAATGACGAACAACGAAAAGATAAGATTTTTTACCTTGTATTTCTCTTCGAAAACGAAAAATGCTTCGATTATTGCTCATATTCTTGTATTTTTCGTGTGTATTTTATGTGAAATATCTGCCTAATAATCATCCGTTTTGAATGCTTCATTTACATTTATTTATAGTAGTAAAAAATCCTATTTTTAAGAGTCATAGTGAAACTAAACTCCTTGCTTGGTTATCTTTGTGTTCCATGCATCCACGGCGCCGGGGAGTTCAGGGTGAGTGGTTGACTGAGGGATGTGGACTTTCAAAAGGGGAGATGCGGCGTTGAAGGAATTGTAGGGTCTTGGAAACCCTAACTTTTTATTTCGGGTTACTGCTCGGGGCGAGTCCTGAGCCGGTTCGGGTGCTCCAAGTCGACCGACTGGGTTTGGAATTGACTCTGATATTTCAATTAATAAATCCTTATCGAATTGAGTTGCGGATGACTCATCCATCGTAAAGTCGAGTTCATCTTGAAATGATATGGAATTGAAGCTGTAGTTCGGGATTTGAATCGGGGTGCGACTTCTCGTTGCCAAAATGTAGTCAAATTCAGTCTTCTTCTCGGTTTAAAGACCTTGGTTTAAAAATTCGATCGGAAAATAGTTATTTGACTCCACCATGTGGTTGATAGGCCATTGAGCTGAACGAAATCGAACTCAAAAAGTCTTCGTTGATAGATATATTTTCTCGACTTAAACTATGCTGCTGGAAGATGGTATCTTGTCACTAAAGCACAACCAACCCAGGTCTTCTTATTGACTTAAAGACCTCGGTTGAAACTTTACCCGAAAAGTAGTTGATAAGTCATCGAGTTGAATGGAATCGAACTCGAAAGTTTTTATTGACAGATAACCTTTCTCGCATTGAGTTATGTTGTACTGAACTTGAGATTGCCCTAGATCTTCTTCTTGACTTAAAGACCTCAGCTTCAACCATAAAGTAGTTTCTTGATGCTACCATGCAATTGATGTGTCATCGAGCTGAATGGAATCGAACTCGAAAGTTTTCGTTGTCAGATAGCTTTTCTCGATTTAAGTTATGCTGTAAATTTGACATGCCCTTGAGCTGAATGTAATCGAACTCGAAGATCTTTGTTGACAGATAACCCTTCTCGCATTGAGTTATGCTGTAAATTGGATATGCCTTTGAGCTGAATATAATTGAACTCGAAGGTATTTTGTTGACAGATAGCCCTTCTCGCCTTGAGCTATGCTATAATTTGGATATACCTTTGAGCTGAATATAATCAAACTCGAAGGTCTTTTGTTGACATATATCCCTTCTCTCCTTGAGCTATGCTATAAATTTGATGTGCCTTTGAGCTGAGTGTAATCGAACTCGAAGGTCTTTTGTTGACATATAACCCTTCTCGCCTTGAGCTATGTTGTAAATTTGATGTGCCTTTGAGCTGAGTGTAATCGAACTCGAAGGTCTTTGATGACAGATAACACTTCTCTCCTAGAGTTATACTGCACTGGGCTGGGGAATGAATCCCTATTGTTGTAGATGATAAAGTCGATTCGTTGGGCACGATATCCTTCGGCGTGAAGTTGAAATCATGGAGGGCTCCTTCGTTCGTGAAGTTGAGCTTTGAATTGGATATCCTTTGTTGTGAAGTTAAAATCCAAGGATTGTTTCACCAAATTGGTTTTGAGTTGGATATCCTTTGTCGTGAAGTTGAAATCCAATCTTGAGTAAGTTTCACCAAATTGGTTTCAAATTGGATATCCTTCGTTATGAAGTTGAAATCCAATCTTGAGTAAATTGTGTCACTTCGAGTTCAATATCATTCGTTGTGAAGTTGAATTTGACTCTGAATGAAACTGGAAAGTTGTTTGTTGACAATTGCTCATTCGCTGTGAAGTTGAGCTTTGAATTGGATATCCTTTGTTGTGAGTTGAAATCCAAGAGTTGTTTTACCAAATTGGTTTTGAGTTTGATATCCTTTGTCGTGAAGTTGAAATCCAATCTTGAGTAAGTTTCATCAAATTAGTTTTGAAGTTGAAATCCAATCTTGAGTAAATTGTGTCACTTTGAGTTCAATTTCCTTCGCTATGAAGTTGAAATTGACTCTGAATGAAACTGGAAAGTTGTTTGTTGACATTCACCCCTTTGCTGTGAAGTTGAGCTTTGAATTAGATATCATTCGTTGTGAAGTTGAAATCCAATCTTGAGTAAATTGGGTCACTTCGAGTTCAATATCCTTCGCTGTAAAGTTGAAATTGACTCTGTATGAAACTGGAAAGTTGTTTGTTGACAGACAACTTTTCTCGACTATATATTTCCTCTAAATGAAGGATGACTCCCCCTTCGCTGGTCTAAATCGATCATAGTTCTTTAAATGGCTTCCCTTCACGGGAAACCCAAGTGGTATATTCTGTCAGTCAGATATCCTCCGTTGTGGAGTTACAATCTGGCTTGCAAACGTCAATTGGAAACTAGTCACTCGTCGTTGAGTTAAGCTGAACTGGATCCGTTCCGAATTGGTTCTCCAACCCGTCTGAATTTTATTTTAAGATATGTCGGTCTTTCAATAGGTCAAATTGATTGAGGTATAGCTTCTCGCTGTGAAGTTAAGCCACCACCATCAATTTCTGAAGGTGCTTTTGAATCGAGTATCCTTCTTCTTAAAGTTGAAACTTGACTCTAAAAGCTGCAAAAATTATATATACAAAAAAATGATGAATGTGATGATATTAAGTATGTCTAAGATGCATGCAACATGAATTAGTTATGTTTTATCTCTTGGATAGAGCCTCATTTTTGTCTGATGGTCTTATCCTTAGAATCACCATGCCCCATTTTCTACTCAGGTTGTTGATAATATCACAAGTTCTATCTGGTCTCTCGGATTGATTGTTTTCAAAAATGTGAAATGCTAAAATTTTTGAATTATTCGTTCTTTCTTCAATAGAAGCAAAAAAAATGAGACTCAACAGCTTCCAGGACTTTTCACATTTGAGATTGTCCTGTTTGAAAATGTTTTTTCTCCTTTCTCTTATTTTAGGAGGGAAGAAAAAAAGATATAAAAATATAAGAATTATATAAAACATTGCCTCTTAATCCAGGATCGCAATCGGATCAAATCATAAACATGAGTCCAAATAATATCAAAAAAATCAATAGCTTTTTACCGTTTTCAGAGTTATAGCTCTTTGACAAATGTCCAAAATTGATGAGTTGGTTTTAGGTTGGCTTTCTATTTTCTATGGTTTTGGCCACCAAAATGTTGTTTCTTTCTCGGTTTTTTTGAACATCGCAACATGCCCCTATTTCTTGTCTTGACATTTTAATCGGATGCGAACAAAATGACACAACTAGCATAATCAATTACTAGACCTTCTATTTTGGTCATCTGAAATCTTTCATTTGTTCAAGCTTTGTAGACTCCTCTAACAAAGGTAGTGCAAAAATATCAGTCTAAAAATGGAATTCCTGAGTGCTCGTATGAAATTGACTATAACATGTGTTCCTTAACTCCCTTAGTTCATCTTTACCGAAACTCCTTATTTAGATAAATTTAATTTGCAATTGTCAAGCTAGCTGAATCCATAAAGCCGAGGAGTTTAACCAATTGCTCTAGAAGGATAACTCAATATTATAATCACCTTTATCAGGCTAG